GAGTTTCAGTAAAATGTAGTGGAGGATTTAACAAATATTTTTTCTTGTTGGAATGTGTCTTCTGTCACTCAGTTCTACACTCTTCCATTTTCAATTAAAAGAAAATCTATAGCAGCTACCCCATAGACCCATTGCAAACAGAGTTTATTTTCATAAGTGAGAGTGAGGGAAAATTGCTTATAAAATTGCATCAAAAAGTTGCTATGCAGAGACTACAGGATACCAATGTTATAAAACACCCCCAGGTTCAATCTTGGAAACTATTCCCTCCTTGTTATCCCTCTCAGTGCGCCAGCAATCCTGCCATTGGTTCAGCATCGAAAGCAAAGTGGATGCAAAATTCTGCACCTTGGGTTTGACCATTTTCCTGGCAGATCTTCATCCCATGTCCCCCAGACCAGGTTGTGTCACCTTACTGGGACACAACCTGTTCCAGAACTTTCTCTTGACACAAAGTCCTCACACGAGGCCATCCTTCACTTCTCTATGGGGAAAGCCCTTTGGGTTTTGCAGGCGTACTGCCAAAGACAAGGGGATCAAGTCGGCTTAGACCTCCTAGACGTGAGGCCCTAGATTTCAGTCTCTAGTTCATTTGCTCCACTGCCTCGTTCAGCCCAGTTATGAAACTTTTTTCTCCTCCTGGAAAGTACAGTATGCACAAACCATCACAGGCTATCATTATTTCCAATACATACAGCAGTCTCATACCCTCAGGGAGAGGACTCCTCACTTGCAGCTTAAACAAGTACTGAAGGGGACCTTTTGTAAATTCACACTTTCTGAAATTCCAATTTATGTATAATGCTCCAAATTTTGTACGTCTGTCTTTACAAGGAAAAAAAACAACACCCAAACACAGAAAAATCACTTCTGCTTCTGCAAATTCCCTCTCATATATGGTATTCAGATAACAACCTCAAAATGTTATCTTCAAAAGCATACGCTCCCTTCTTGCAGTACTCTTCTTCATTTAAAAACTCATAAAAGATTATTTTAACCAAACAAGCCTGGTAATATACGAAGCAGATGTGGGATCCAACCTACCAAACTTACTTGCTGGACTTGTGCTTCAGCACAAGCAAAGGAGACTGCTTCATCCAAGCCACAGATGTTGGTGGGATGGTGCAGGCAGAACAGGAGACCGCCCGAGAGAAACCCACCCTGCCCCATTCTCTGGCGACCTTCCCAGCCACCCGCTCACTTCACCACCCAGAAGGGGTATTAATGGACTCAAGTCAGTAACACCACTTCATTAAGTGCCCAAAATGTAGGTATAAGTGAGGAGCCCGAGTCAGGGAGATTAAATCTCTCCTGGACACCTTCAAACCTCTCTGGTTTTCTTGCTGGACTACAAAGGGAGGCATTGCACTTTATTAAGGCTTCTCTTGGCACTTGAAATATAGATGCACGTATGTGAATAAAGCGGATGGAAATCTCATTCTAAGTTCCTAGTTCTTCCCTAGCTGTGACCTTCTTTCCCAAAGCGCTTGGATCTTTCAGAAAGACAGACTCAAAAAGTGCCATATGGGCCATCCTCCTGCTATGAATGTGAGGAAAACGAACGTGAAAAGGAAAAAAAAAAAAAACAACAAACTCTGAATGTTGTTAGCGCTGCCCTTCTGGGCCTCCTGAGTCCTCCCTGCTTCCTCCTGCCAACAGTACAAACCACCTCATGCTACTGTCAGCAGCGCGGAGACATTGCCTTTGCTGCACAGGAAGGTGGCCAGAAATGCAGGATTTTTCTCTCTGGAAGACCGGTTTCAGTCTAAGTGAGGAGGCTGCCCCACAGCCACATGGGTTTGGAAGACTCCTGGTTGCTCCAGGCCTTGAGTACTATGAACAACGGGCTAACCACAAGCAGCAAGTCCTCCAAGAAAACAGTACCTGTGGCCAAGCATACCCCAATAAAACCAAAGCTGAGGTGGCTTGGACATCATCATTTCAGGTACGACCTGCTAGCATTTTCCAGCAAATTAAACAGCTTTACAGAAATGTTTCTGACCAACGCTACCTCTGAGCAAGACTACATCGAGTCATTCAGCAGTGGCAGACACATTTCTTCCAAGATACTTTCATTCAAGATTTATTTTGCTGATAAATCAAAATTAAAAATTTCCTGCTGGCACTTCATACAGCAATCCATTGTTTTGTATTCTCTGGAGAGGTCCTGGCACCTACGAACAATAAAAACTGAGAAGTCCTAGCTCAGCTAACTGCTACTTCGCTGCACACTGTGGAGCTGAAAAACACATTTACAGAGCTGTAAGTGCATTTACCCTGCAAAGCAGATGGCATTTGCCATTCTGACTAGAGCCCTTGCTAATATTTCTCGTTGCTTTTTTAGGCGCTGTGATATTTTTCACGGAAAATGTCTACAAAATTTAAAAGAGAAGAGGACTGTGGCAGCAGGCAATGGGAAGAAAGGAATAAAAGTCACAAACTGGTCCCTCGCTCTCTTCGACTTGTAGCTGCAGGGCAAGGGCAGGAAAAGCTCAGCTCTGCAACCTCTTCTATTGCTGAAGTCCAACAAGCCACAGCGTCTCCAGACAGAGAGAAATTCAGGCAAATAACGTATTACAGATATGTGCATTTATTTTTGAGCAAAACATAAATTGGGTTGGCTCTCCAATATCAATGTGACCCAGGGTGACACAAAACACAAGCATTTCTGATCAAGTCCAATCATCTGCTTCAGTGCTGTAGCTGAGCGATGCCGATCTTCCTACGTAAACCTAACTTAGCTTCGCCTTTGGCAAATCTTGAATTTATGGTTTAACTACTTCCCTTAAGTAAACATCGCCACTGCCTGCCTGACCCTCCCATTAGGCTTGCCCTGATATCCAAGCTAAATGCATCCTTTTGATTCTAACCCATATTTTCTTCCTAATTGTATCATCTGCGTCTATTAAGAACAATTTTCCCCCATCCTGTAATTCAAAGCACATAGACAGACTCCCCTGAATCACTGATTTTTGTTTGTTCAGTTTAGACTAAACAAATTAACTGTTTTTACTCTCTCTGTGTGGTTTGTACTCTCAAGACACTACAGCATTTCTTTTACCCTTCTTTGAACCCTCACCATCTAAGATGTAACACATGCTGTTAGATAGCTAACATATGTATGAGTTCATTCAGGGTTAAACAGGACTGACTGAATTATGGACACCAAACACCATTTTTTGAAGTTTATTTATCGCCACATGAAGACAATTCTTCCTTGAAATTTTGCAGAGATTCCCAGAGCCAGAGTAAGTGGTTCCTATATGCAACTTTCTCCCCTTTAAGCTCAATTTGGGATTTTATATTTTTCCCAATAACATAACTGAAAACAATTTTACTCCATTTAAAGTAGCTGAAACTGTTTGCAAATATTAAATGTATGTTTCCAATTACATAGGAAATTTTGCTCTTATTTCCATACAAATATATTGCCTTAGAACCTTATCACCAGAGTCTGTACTTATTTTGATGATGGGCAATTGAGGTTATTCTTTTTCACGTGAGCTTTTAAGTTAACTATGAAAGCAAGTGAATTTTAATTCGAATTAGGCAAAAGTGGGACAGTAAAAAGCATGACAAATGATTTACTGCCATGGGAGCAACCTTTCCAAACTGCATTTGTATACCAGCTTTTAACATAATACTTAATTAACTCCTTTTTTGGGGGGGAATAGGCAGGGGATGAAGTATTTACTCAGCATGACATACTCTGATGAAGCATCTGGTTTACAAACCTGCCCTTCTAAGAAGGTCAGCAACTTGGCTGAGGTCAAATTAGCTCTTTGGGTTTTGCCTGACTTCATTCCATTCTCCATTAGGTGAGGTGCCTTCTAAGAACTTGAAAAATATCCGAGAAGATAGCACTTTCCAATTTAAGTCCAGAAAAAGAGAGAAAGAAGTTGAAAAATTACGACCCAAAAGTATGGCACGGTGGAGAGAAGTTTTCTGCTGAGACACTCCACTGGTGAGTCTTCTCAGTAGTGCACAAACCAACCAACAGGGAAGCTTCCAAATGCATGGCGACACTACCAACGGACAAGGGTGTTTACTTTGGATCAACCATACTCACAAACAGCAGAAATCAAATATAGAAAGCAAAGTAACACCTGGCTCATCGTCTTCACTGTCACCCAACTTCTCAGCTAATTTCAACGCATTCTACCAAGACAGCAAATATTTAAAGGATGAGGAAAATATAGCAAAAACAAAAAACAGGGGGATTACTCCACAGCTTTCCTAGCAGGACACTAACAGAGAGCAAGATAAAAACAAGCTGCAACCAGTCCAAACCACTGGGCTTTGACTGTCTTGGGCTGCTAAAGCTATTTCATACACAGATCTTCATGTGTCCATGTTCTACACTGATACTGGTTGCAAGTTGTATTTGGAAGTAACCCAAGTTTTCCAACACAGACAGACTCCATTAATAGAATATATTTGGATTATTTCAAACATAGAAAGAAGCCAGCCTGAAAGAAATCCAGCCAAGTACAACAAAATTCAGGCTAGGCTCAAAATTCACATTTCTTTTCTAAGGGTAATAGAAAATACATTGTTCTTTATCACTAATATTCTGTTGCCATCTCAGCTCAGAACACCTCCACACACTAAAGGTACACAAGAAAAAGCAGCAAGTGGATCAAAAATTTAGCAGTTTTCTTCAGTTGTCCAAGCTGAGGTAAACATAAATAAATAGGACAAAAGGACAACGCAAGGCTTGTCTCTTTTAAAGCAAGCATGCAAACAATTCATATGTCCAAGATACAAGAATGTTCCCCAGAGAGGAAAAAAAACCAATATAATGAAAAAGAAATGGAAATAAAAATCCCTTTAGTTTTAATTATACAAAGCCAAGATTACTGACAAAGCTCAGGAGTATTTTTTTTTTATCTGTGAAAAGACAGCTTCCCTTCCTTTAAAAGCTATGTCTTTCCAAAAGCTGAGCACGTACTTTAAATCCTGATGGCATTTCTCACGCCTTGAAGACAAAAACGCCTTACCAAGATCATGTGACCGGTGGAGATGTCCATGTTGGACTGGACCGGCTCCTCGCACCAGGACGACGTGCTGCTCCGGGCCGAGGGGCTGGGAATGGGCCCATCGCTAAACTGTGAAGAAACGCTGTTTATTCGAGAAGGATGCAGGGGCTCCGGGCGATCAGACGTTTTCACTGCCATGCGCTGACGGCATAGCTCCTAGAGAGAGAAAGAGGAAGAAACAACCTACGGTTAAGAGTAATTACAGGATGCAGTCTACTAAAGACATATGATTTACAATATGTTTCCAGGGCTGGAAGTGTTTTTCCCTCACTGCAGTGATTTTTGGGAGGCTGGCTGTTCTGCTAGGCACATCTACAAAGAGATACTCAATGAAATTACGATATGATGACTACCCTAACCTTTCAAAAGTGTAATTAGGACTGCAAGCACATCTCCTGTTAGATAAGCAAAAATAATATTTTGGAGCTTGATTTCTCTAACAGATATCCCCTGCCTTCTGTGAAGACACTTTTGAACTGTGCAACCTCCTGAAGTTAATGGGGTTGCACGGGAGTAATTGAGAGCGCTGCTTGGCCCTGGATATGCAAACTCAGCAAGCTCAAGGCAACTGAATTGATGTGCTCTCCAGTATAAATCCTAGTTGATAGATGCCTCATTTCTCTTCATTAAAATAGCAAACTCACACCACTTCCTCCCTGATGTGGGGCAGAGAGGATGAAGAATGACATTAATGAAGAATAAAAGCAGAAATCTGTCATTGTATTGTTTAAGCAGCTTTGGTGAAGAAAGAAAATTCAAGCTATCACACACGCTAATGCAAGCCACGTTAGAACACCGAAACAGATCGCACTGGAAACACATATTTTCAGTTGCTCCCATGCATAGAATTCATGCAAAAACACAGAATTCTGGTTAGGTAACAGAAAATCCTGCTGGTAAAACCAGCTCCTTAGAGCATAAAATTCTGACTCTAATGCGATAAATAGATTCACAGTTAGACTGTCCTTGTTACAACGCTTTTAGAATCAGTTATGTGTGGTGAAATCCCAGACAGTATCATAAAATTACCATTTTTTAACATATGCCTATTGTCCGTGAGAGACACACGTCTGTGCCCATGGCGCACAGCAAGACCGGCTAGTCCGTACTATCTGGACATACTGCACACGCGCTGTGGTTACACATTTGCCTCAGATTACTCATCCTGCACAGACGAGTACTAAGAGCACAGTCTCTTGCCTCAGGCTAACAAAATAATAGAGTCTGAAGAATTCATACCGTTGCAATGCCATGGCTTCTGTTTTCTTATTCATTGATAATACAGTTGCAGCCCAAGTGCCATCAGCGGGATGATCAGAAAAACTCCATATACCAAGTGCAAAAAAATCTTTTCAGCCAGCAGCTAGAAATATAACACTAAGACTATGGCTTCATTTTTTTAACCTTGCGAACTTTAGTACGCTGAAGAGGGATCCTAACCCATGCAGCAGCAACCATTCAGACAAACTCCTTGAAACCACTATACTGAAACTCCTCTTGCCACCACATGGCAACGATTAAAGACCTCTCCAAACACTTTCTTCTACCAAAGCCTCTGTTCGACTTGCCTTTAGAGATACTTCTGTGGAATTTTACTATTTTATGGTGTGTAATAGATAATGTATGTATATAAGCACATACAAATTAACATACACTAAGATAAAATTCCTGTCGTATATAAACAGGATGTATTTTGTGGTCTATTACAAAAATACAGTCACCAGAAGTTTGGGAAGCACAGATTACTCCTTGTGTGTGGTGTCAGTTTTTGGAATAACTGTACAGACTGTCCAAAACGAAACCGCTACCTTAATCGATCACCGTATTTTGTCTGTTTATTAATTTCACTGATGCCATGTAAGAATTTTTTTAATTTTTACAAAAAGTAGGGGGTTTTCCACACTTGACTAGAATGTTATTTCACTTTGTACATTTGTTACTTCCTACTGACCTTAACAGGAAAAAAATTAGGGAAAAAACATTAGAATTCAAAAATACTTTGAAATCGAGTCACATATATTAGTGTTAGATAGGTCAGTTAAACTATCAGTGTTAAACCCAAGACGTTTTAATAAAGGAAAACATTTTATTGTACTTATTTTTCTTAAACATAGGGACAGAGAAAAAAAAAAATCTCCTTCTCATTTTCTCTGAAGGATCATACATGTCATAAGAAAAGGTAGCAATAGTCCAAAATGGCTATTACTTTACCTCAGAATGACCTTGCGGTAGTATAATTTCAAATCCCTGCTTTTAGCAGATTTTGGGAAAAGTGTAACAGTGCAGAAACTTTTTAGACAGAAAAATAAATCCACAGAAAACCAAAAAAGCTGTTCAGATGTTTAGATACCAGTCATTCTCAGAGGGAATGGTTTACTGCACTAGGCAAAAGTATAGTAAGTAAAGGTATAAAAATATGCAGTCTATCACATAACTGCTAAAAGGATGCGTCTTCTGGCTAGCATGCTATGTGGTGTAGATACAGATTTATTATATTCTAATAGACATCCTGCCACTTGACTCACCCCAACTCTGTGCTAACAATAGCATTTGTACTCAAACAGGATCTTTGTTTTTAAGTTGATCTGTTCCTGCTGCTCATATCCTGCCTCAAGCCATAATCCTCTGCTTTTACAAGTGGTTGCTGTGGAAAAGATTACAGACCTCTGCTAACAAGAAAGAACTGGGATCTAGTGAACCTTAAGAAATTAATATACCATTCTTACACAAACCATAATGACAATTTTTGTCAATATTATAGCCCGCTGGTTCTAGAGTAGATTAACCTGCAAATTAAAAAAAAAGTTTTGGACGTAATGTTACTAAGAAATGTTGTTTTAAAACTAAGTTTAACATGTTCACGGTCCTCATGAAGGAAGCCAAGGCTGAGAAACACAGTAAATGTAAGTTTAAAAAAACGTAACTTGATTTCGAATATTAACATATTTCTTTCCTGATATATATAGAACCAAAACAATTATTCCCAGAATTGCTGTAACTATCAAATACCTTAAACAAAGCAACCATGTCACTGCACACTGCCATAAAAAATGTTTAATGTAAACAGGAAGGTCAAATCACAGCTGCAGCAAAAGCACCACTAAATTTCTTGATTGGTGTTTTAAATCTCCAAGACAATGGGTGTTCCCCCACTTGTAAACAGAAGACTTGTTTGAATTTACTTCCAGATAGGTCTAGCAGCCCTTGACAGCTCTTCCTCCTCCTGCTCCCAGCCAGCCCAGCCCAGGCTGAGGAACCTGCCCCATCCCCACATGCATGCCAGCAGCCTCAGGACACCTACAGCTTCTGCTTCTTCAAACCCACCTCTCAGTTAGCCCAGCCATTTTGACGCCTCTTTGGGTTTCTGGAGTACCACCACTTCAAAAAGCTTTGACACTTGGGGCATTTTGGTGAGCCAAATGGGTCCCTCTGGGACGTATGGAGTAGGGAGGTCCAGCTCAGAGCGGGGAAATGTCTAAATGTGGGATTTGGGTTCGCTTCGTCCTTGAGACGGGCAGCTTTGGCCCCTTCCTATGAAAGGCATTGGGAACAGTGGGGTCTCAGTGTGTGGGGTGTTCCACATCAGGTGCTCTCAGGGAAACACCATCCCATGGCACTTACAGACGTGGGCGGCATCACTTCACAAGCACACAAAGCCCTAGGTGGTTAAGACCCTCATTAATACGATACCTGTTACTTGTACACTTCTCTGCACACTCAGGTATGCTCTTCTCCACCCTCCAAAACCTTTACTCTCACAAGCATTTAGCAAATCAGCCATCTACCAAACCACAATTAGAATTTAAACTTCTCTAAAACGTCAAAGCTGCAAATTGTGAGAATGACACGAGCTGTATTTCTGTGTCGTCTCAGCACGTACACCACTACAAGTATTTTCTAAGAATGAAATCAGTTTACTGCTGCACTTCTATATTTAGCCAAGTGGCTGAGGCTATTTCTGCCGTATGGCGACTCAGTAATGTCTAGCTGTTGTTTGTGTATAGTTCGAGTGCCATTCTTCATTTAAAAACATCATTTACACCTAAAAAAGCAATCATAATGCATACAGTGAAATATGAAGAAATGATCCTTCTGACCCTTCAGGCTATGATCTAATGGATGGGTTGGACGTAAACATTTATTTAAAAGGTAATTTGAAGTTTATGACATTATTTCCCATCACACGGGAATTGCTATCACACTGAGGCACTTACTCTGTTTTTTATTTCCCAACATTTATTATCAAACTTATGTGGTGGTCACATGCAGTATATAATGGAAAAGTAATATCACTGTGTGACAAAAACTGCCATAACCAAGATAAATATTCTGTAAATAATGTCCAGTTAAATGAGTTCAAAGTACAGCACAATGATCATCTGTAGAGAGCTTTTTATTTGAGACATAATTGATAACCTTAAACAAACCATAAAAGCATTCTTAGAAAACCCCTGGACCTCTTCCAATGAGGTTTTAAAGTGTTCCTTATGCCTGGTTGTCCTTGCAGAGACAGGGAGAAACACGAAGCAACAACTATTTCCTCAGGTACAACAAATGGATTTTCAAATCCATGCAGTCCACTTGTGAATGAACGACATCGCGGCACAAACGTAGTTTATCCAGATGTAAACAAGGGCATTAAGACACCTGTTGCGCCTATGGACAATACCCCACATGCATGGAGAGCCAGCCCTACCACTATGCTCTGTTAGATGGGTCTCTGAACTTGGAGAGATGAGTAAGCAGCTCTCCCCTCAACCAAGGAGGCATCAAGTCTGTTCAGAAATGAGCCCCACAGATACCTGTCCCGGTCTGGTTTCGCGATGAGTCCTGCTTAACCACCAGTGTCAGGCCACCTCTTCTGGACATCCCCAGCTTGTGACAGCAGTAGCATCTGCTGCCACTTGGCCCCGTGATGCACAGCAACCATCAGCGTCACAGAAGGGCATGACAGCAAAATGTAATTTGGAAAATTTTTTCTATTCCATCAAGTTCAGCTAATACAGTAGGTATCTGGAAAATCTATTAAGACCACATAGTTTACTAAAATGTTTGGTTTTGGAGAGAAATCTATGTATACACCCTAGTAAGGACGACAAGTATAGGCCAGCATGGAACTAAAGGCAGCTGGAACTGAGACTTGAATGGTCAATATTGAATCTTTTCCCTTGTTTTAGTTGCAAAAGTGGAATTTGAAAACCTCACAGTGGCACGTTACAGACAGGAGACCTGACCCGAGCATCCCAGTTACGAGACGGCCAACGTGCACCTCGGCTTTCCACTCATCACCCTTAAAGACGAGCCACCCCACCTCAAAGCTGCCTCCAGGGAGGGTGCTGCTGTTTATTAAAACACACCTACTTAGTGCGAACGCGCTGTGCAACATCTTCAGGCAGCCCGAGCCCAGCCACTGACCGCGGACGTGAATCGTTCCCATCTGGCTGGTACCAGGCGTATTATAAACGAAGTTGCTCGGCCCAAAGTAAATGAAAACAGCTTCCAGTCTAAAACATTGCTCTTCTTCCACAGCTACATTCACCTCAAATCTGCTTAGCAGCAGCCTGGGATAGGAGGGAAATTCCAACTTCCCAGTTCATTTAGAAAAAGAATTACTATATATGAATGAAAATCATCTATTTTTGTAACTGATCTCCAGATTTACATAATTCCAGAAACACAGTCCAGGAAATAGGCCTAACATTTCCATGCTTTTAAAAGTCTTTTGCTTAACAAATTCAAATGGAAGTCACCTGAGCTAGTCCAGAAACAAGTGTAGCACAACTATTTTCAGACTTTACAAAATATTAGAGAGAATAAACCCTTCTACGGTGTAACTATTAAGAAAATGCAGAGACATTAGGCAAAGAAATCACTGTTTATTAGAAGTGATAGCAGAGTGTACACCAAGCCTTTTCAACCTGACCTGCCTAATATTCTATCAGAAACAAATCTGCTTAAGCAGGCATGATCACAATAACACTGTATTCACTTCATATGTGAAACAAAAATGTTTTGTAGAAATTTTGAATTAAAAATGCTGACTATTAATTCTAAATGATTCAAGGCTATACTTTATAATA